TTATGACTGAACACAGTCCCACGTGTGGCTGGGCTGTGTGCTGTTTGTCCACCAGCTGCTGGGTGGGTGGGTGTGTCCACCTCTGGTCGCTGTGAATAGTGTTATCGAGGTTGTGTGTGGGCACGAGCGCCGTAGCTCTGGAATAGTGTCTAAGAAATGGCATTGCTGGGTTCTGTGGGAACTTTACATGGAGAAGCTGGCTCTTTTCTGAGGCGGCTACTCCATTTTGCATGCCCACTAGCAATGCGTGAGGACTCGACTTACCTCTGCCCACACTGCTCCCATCTGCCTCTTTAATGACAGCCGCGGTGTTGGATGTGAACTGGCATCTCATTGTGGTTACGACGTGCATTTCCCTAGTGGCTGATGATGCTGAGCATCTTTTCACCGGTTTACTTTTTAATACTTTTACAGGAAAGAGCACCAGAGAAAGCGCAGTCACCCCCAAATTTTCAGAATGTCACCCAGCTATGGCTGTCACTCTCCACTGTAATAGCACCACGGGCTTGGACACGTGCGCCAGGCCAGGCCTCACTCATGTCATGATGCTACCCACACCCGTCTTCCGGGTCCTTCGCCCTTGTCCTCCTTCCTCTGCCTGTCACAGGGGCCGCCTCCCTTTGCGGTTTCCTGTGCATCAGCCCTGAGTCACCTTCCTGGTCTTCCCTGGTTTGTGTCAGAACTCGGTGGTTTTGTTTCTGACACACACTTGGAGGCCCAGCACAGAGCCAGAGTAGGAACCGCCCGTCTGCAAGAGGATGCAAGTGAGTGGCTCTCGTGCACACTGGCAGTGGCGGTGGTGAGGCGGCACCTCCTGGGTCCCCTGGGCCACCCCCCTCCCTGCGGCCTGGGTGGCTGCTCAGACCCCTGAGTGGCTGTTCCTGGCTATGCTGAGAGCGTGAGGACAAGCCGCTACATTCTCCCCAGCCTGAGTGGATAGGACACACGATACCCTTCAAGAAGAAAAAGACCAACCTGAATCATTGTGAAAATTGGGTTTAAATAAGACAATTTGCTCTGCACACACTTCAAAATTCAAAGCGTTACGAGAATGGGCAGGTACAATCAAGCGTAATGAAACCCGTGCAGCGATGTAGCAAGTTCCACTAGGAGGCACTAAATGTGAAACTGAGGCACCCTCATTGGACAGCTTAGCTTTTACATCTGTAGTTCCTTTTACTAAGCGGAAAGCATCATTTCCACATGCAGTTACTTCAACGTTGGGAGAAGGCATGCTTTTCCTAGCCATCCTGACTATGTCTTAAGGAAACACAAAATGCAGACTTACACGCCGGGTCAGTTTCAGACCTTATGGTGATGGCTCTTTAACACGGCCTTTACCTGCTGAGCCACACTGGTCAGGGGCCTCACTGCCTTACATAAAGCACGTCAGAAGCAGCACATCTTTGGACATACACACAATTAAGTGGACGTGCTAGGCCACACCGCTGGCAGACTGCCTGCATCTGATTAACTGGCCATTCCTGTATCTAAACCTTAGGAATATATTAATATTTTTTTGTGAATTCATAATACTTCTTTTAAAATATTTCGGATTTAACCAAAACCGGTTTGGCTCAGTGGATAGAGCGTCAGCCTGCAGACTGAAAGGTCCCGGGTTCGATTCCGGTCAAGGGCATGTACCTTGGTTGCAGGCACATCTCCAGTAGGGGGTGTGCAGGAGGCAGCTGATCGATGTTTCTCTCTCATCTATGTTTCTAACTCTCTATCCCTCTCTCTACCACCCTGTAAAAAAAATCAATAAAATATATTTTAAAAAAATAATAAAATATTTCAGATTTTCCCCTGCTCTTATTTTTAAGATCTAAGATCATCAAGTTGAATTTTGAGTATCAACAAGGCAAAACTATAATAAATATGTATTTTGAAACTGCAATACCTATAAACATTCTATCAATAATAACAAAAGAAGCCGAAACCGGTTTGGCTCAATGGATAGAGCGTCGGCTTGGGGACCGGAAAGGACCCGGATTCGATTCTGGTCAAGGGCATGTACTTGGTTGCGGGCATATCCCAGTAGGGGGTGTGCAAGAGGCAGTTGATCGATGACTCTCTCATCGACGTTTCTGGCACTCTCTCTCCCTCCCTTCCTCTCTGAACAAAATCAATAAAATATATTAAAAAACAAAACAAAACAAAAAAACAAAAGAAAACCTATGATTTTTTTTTTTATGTTCCCTGGTGGGGAGGGGACAAAAATCTTCTGTTTTGTGCCCAATTTAAGAAACTGGTCTAAACAATTTAATAAGCGATTCAAATTCAAAATAATGTAATAGCTGGCTAAACAGGAACAAAATAACAGTCTAAATTTATGTAATGGTGAGCTCCAAGGACCTCAAAGCAAACTCCCCAACTCCTTAAAGAAAGTCGCCTGTTATTCCTTGAGAAATAAATGAGAACAAGTTTTGTTTTTGTATGCTTTAAAGATGCTAAAACAGGTTCAAAGTTTCTTTTAAATATTTTGCCAAAACATTTCCCACTGACCATGTGTTTTTCCTCTCTACCTCTGCAATATTTTCTAAGTTTTTAAAAATAAGTGTTGTTTGATCTAGAGACAAAACTGGAAGTTTTGCATGCATTTCAGTTTCCTTTTTTAATTATTATATTATTTTTTATTAATCCTCACCAGAGGATATTTTTCCATTAATTTTTAGAGAGAGTGAGGGTGGGGGGGGGTGAGAGGGGAGTAGATTTGGTTGCCTCCTATATGAGCCTTGCCTGGGCCAGGGATCGAGCCTGAAACTGAGGTATGTGCCCCTTGACCAGGATCAAACATGGAACCCTTCAGTCAGAGGGCTAACACTCCATCCGCTGAGCCAAACAGGCTAGGGCTCAACTTCCTCTTTTAAATGAGTCCAGTTCTTTGACTTCTGTGACCGCAGGCACATGTAACCTGAGAACCCAAGTCACATGACTTGTTACATATCAATTAAACACAGGGGATTAAAATATTTTACCTGCCAAATCCTGACTACAGACCTCTGGTTTCTGGCTTTTGTTGTTTGCTCATTGCTCCTAACAAGGCAAGATGGCTAAGCTCTCGAGCTTCTTACAGGGCTGTGGTTGCTAGGATCATCATGCTAATGCCTGCTAAACCCAAGCGCTTAAATAGCAGGTGATAAGGAACTACTTTTTCTTTGGGGAAAAGGATATCAATAAAATCTTCTTGAAAAGTGAGAAAAATACAATCTAACTGAGGTCTTTCTTTTTTTCCTATGAATTGTCCACTACACTTCCATACAGGGAATTCTAACAGATATAGGGTAGTATTTTAGTCTAAACTAACAACAAAATAAACTAAGCAAATAAAAAATATTAGGCCTCCAAAAGCAACTCTTACTAGGAAAAAACTTTACCATGGAGTTGATATAAATGAATAGGAAATAACCACATGAGATAAATATAAGCAGAAGGACACTTAAAACAAAAATAACAACAAAAGTTACTTCCATCCCCTCTGAATAAAACACATATCCACATGAAACTCCACCAATGTAACATACTTTCCTTACTGGAATGGAGTTTTATGTAAGTCCGTGTTCATAACAACACGGTTGCTGTGGAAATAGCTGATTCAACATTATGAACTCACAGCTGAATAAAACAAGGTGTGGAACAGAAGTCTTATTTAAACAGTGGCCAGAACCATAAAACAAAATCGGCAAACTGAGCGACAGTGAGTCAGAGCATCCTGAGTTTTAATGTGAGGGTCATGCATGTTTTTCCCCATATAGGATGTTTCTTTTTCATTTAGTCTTCTATTTTGGAATCCTATAAACCCTGCAGGCATCCCTCCCGGTCCCAGTGTATAGTGGATTACACTGACCCTGCTCAAGACCTCGCCAGAACCTACAGAGCCAACAAAACCCACGTCAGGGAGGGTTTTGAAAATGTTCTGTGTGTAATTGATTCTGCTAAATACAGAACTGACTTATTCACACAGCATCCCTTCAGGCGTAGGCTTCATCTCCAGGTTCGAAGATAATAAATGCTACAAGTACAGAACCTAATTTTTAAGTCAGAGGATGTTAATGCGCGACCAAACCAACTTCACAGCCAGCAACCCTGTCACCACACCGCAGACTTGTCCCTCCACTTTTATGGTGTTTTCCAAGCAATGCTGCAGACCCTGGAGCCACCTGACATAGAAATGGTGTGAGTTAAGTGAACTGTAAAGTGTATGCTCTCTGCTTCCCTTCCCACCTTTAACGGGAGACAGAACCCCTTTTCTTTCATCAGGCACACACTTGACCAATCGTTCCCTCTGGTTTTCTCAACCTTCCAAATTAGAGCATGAAGCCAAAAATTCTACCCTTTCAAAATAAAACATATTCGACGAGTTTTAAAACTGATGGTTATGTGTGGGGCTAGTGACAAAAGAAAAAAAGGACCTTTCCCCCCTTAGGAGATGGCCCAGGAAGAACTGGCTCTGTAAATAGAAACCCAGATAGATTCCCTTGGCAGCTGGCACCACCGAGGGTGTGGCTGCCCTCCGCGTGTGCACAGGAGACCGATTCATACCAGCAAGACCGGAAAAATCACAACTGAGAGCAACTGTGGAAGCAGCGAGAGCCAAGACCAGAACGCAAAGGGCTGACTCTCTGCTAGGTGAGTCACAGGAAACCCTCCCACCCCAGACCAGAACCCGCCCAGCTCCTGCAGTGGAGAATGTAGGTCAAAGCTCCCTGGGCTTTGGGCTTTAGGGGGAAGGGCTGAGCCCACGCCTCAGGGGCAGAAGCCCAATTCCCCAGGAGCAGGGAGGCAGGGCCCCGGCTGTGGCCTGCCCTCTAACTAAGCCTCCACCTTCGACACACCACAGTGAACTTGATCATCCCAGAAGAGGCCGCACTGAGTGCTGGGCTAGCTCTCCTTTCTAGTCCCGGATTTCGCCATTCATGTGTTCTGATCAGCACTCGCAGGATGAAGGACCCTGAAACCGCTGCTCAAGCCAGGTTTACATATAATGACGATCAGCTCACCCAGCTCTGTCGACACAGGGGACCCCGTGGCAATCTCACCAATCTTGGCCACTCCATCGAAGTAGGCTTTCCCCGCCAGGATCATAGCTAGACAGGGAAGGTGACACACAAAATCATCATTTAGACAGAAAAGGAGGAAGCGACACAGAGGTTTTCTCCCAAGCATCTCGCATCCCTTTGGCTCTGGGAAGGCAGTGTGTGCCGATAGCTGTGCCGGGCAGAGGCCCCACCACTGACAGAACAACGGGACCCTTGCCTACAAGCAGCCCCAGGGAACATCCCACGCAGGCACTGAAGTCTAGAGGAGGCCTGCCTCCTCCTGATGCCAGGTCTAGGAACAGAAACATTATGTGCATATATGCATGACCCACGGACACAGACAGGCTTGGGGCGAGGAGGAGGGCTGGAGATCACTGGGGGAGAGGGGAGGGGACATCTGTAATACTTTCAACAATAAAGATAAATTAAAAAAAAGAAGTTGCAGCTTTACTATTTATGTATACGAGTTTAGAAAACATAATGGTATACCATGCAGCTATTTCATGAGACTGAGGATGACCTTAAAGTAGAATCATAAGGAAGAATAATAAGTCGCATTTGTGTAGACTTTCCAAGTTATTGCTTGAGCTGTTCTAGCCGACAACATTAACACATGCGCTGGTGATGTTATCGCCCTGTTTCATGAAGGGGAGTGGACTGGAGACATTCTGCTTCCTTCCCAAGGTCAATGGCAAGGCAGAGGGCGTGCACACAATGCCAACTAAGGTACTTCACTTCCTCAGCTCTGCATTAAAGGTGTTTTTTGATTCTTTGGCCCCAGAACTGAAAAAGGGATGACTCCACCTAAAAACAAGCTCGTAGCCAGCAAACTGTCAAGTTATATACACAATATTTTAGCACGAAGATTTTAAGTGGCAAGCTACTGATAAGCTGAAACGCGAATTTGTGGGAGAATGGTATACAGGATTATATAACACAACACAAAAATTTTGATCTGAATCACACATGGAAATGAAAATTTTCATCATCTGTTCATTTATGCTTAAAACTATCCTTCTTATTCTAGTAAAACATCCTTGATTTTATGATAAAGTTGAATTAACTTTAAAAATTATATAGTTTACCCAGAATAAGGAATAAAATATTTTCATAATTTTGGTTTCCTCTGTGAACACATTAAGAGGTTTTCTACCACTTATTGTTTTAAGGGTGAAGAATATTAGTTCTATTTAAAAAAAAATTTTTTTTACATATTTTATTGATTTTTTACGGAGAGGAAGGGAGAGAGATAGCTAGAAATGTCGATGAGAGAGAAACACCAACTAGCTGCCTCTTGCACACCCCCCACCGGGGATGTGCCCACAACCAACGTACATACCCCTGACCAGAATCGAACCCGGGACCTTTCAGTCCGCAGACCGACGCTCCACCGCTGAGCCAAACCGGTTTCGACTATTAGTTCTATTTTATGTATTTAAACTTTAGGGGTTAATATTGATTAATAGCATTGTATAAATTGCAGGTCTACAACTTTTAATACTTTGTGCTCACCACCTGAAGTGACTGACCTCCCTTATCCTACTTCCCTACTTCCCTCTGGTAACCACCATTCTGTTGTATCTTCGAGTTTGTTTGTTGTTTTTGTTTATATTCCACATGAGTAACATCATATGGTTCTTCCCCTTTTCCATCTGACTTATTTCACTTAGCATAATATTCTCAAGACCCATACATGTTTTTGCAAGAGGCAATATTTCACTTTTTTATGGCTGAGTAGTATTTCACTGTATATATGTACCACAACTTCTTTATTCAATCATCTTCAAAAGATACTTAGGTTGATTCCATGTCTTAGCTATTATGAATAATGCTACAATAAATATAGAGGTACACACAACTTGACAAATAAGTGTTTTCAAATTTTGGGGAGTAGATACCTAGAAGAGGGGTTGCTGGTTCATATGGTAGTTCTATTCTTAATTTATGGTGGAACCTCTATTTTCCATCGTAGCTGCACCAATTTACATCCCCACCAGCAGTATACAAAGGTTCCCTTCCCTTTTTTCCATGTCCTCCCCAACACTTGTTTCTTATTTTATTGATAATCACCATTCTAAAAGATATGAGATGGTATCTCATTGAATTTTAATTTCATTTCTCTTATAACTAGTAACGTTGAGTGTCTCTTCCTATATCTGTTGTCTTCCTTGGAAAAGTGTTTATTCAGATCCTCTGCCCACTTTTAAATTATTTTTCATTGTTGTTGAATTGCAGGAGTTCTTTATCTATTTTGGATATTGTTTGAAAAGATCTCCCAAACAGCTGGTTGCCTTCTAGTTTTGTTGACTATTTCTTTTGCTGTGCAGAAGTTTTTTAGTTTGATGTAATTCCACTCATTAATAGTTTTATTGTACTTTCCTTGTCTTTGGAGTCATGTTCACACACACACACACACACACACAAAAAAAAAAAAAAACAACCCTCTGAGACCAAGTTCCATAAATTTAGTGCCTAAGTTTTCTTCTATGTATTTTATGGTCTCAGGTCCTTTACTTTTAGTTAAAAATTTTTAAAATAGTGTTATATAACAGCATAATTTCATTCGTTTGCATGTGGCCTTCCAGTTTTTCCATTTATTGAAGAAACTTTCCTTTTTTCCATGATATGTTTTGGGCTCTTTGGTTGAAAATTAATTGCTCATATATGCCTGGGTTTATTTCTGGGCTCTCAAGTCTGTTCCATTGTCTGTGAGTCTATGTGTTGTTGTTTTTTTGTGTGTGTGTGTGTGTGTGTGTGTGTGTTTTTCAATACTAGAGTGTTTTGATCATTTTAGCTTTGTAGTATAGTTTGAAGTTAGGGAGGTTGGATGCCTCCAGCTTTGTTCTTTTTTCTCAGAATTGCTTTGGCTATTCATGAGTTGTTTTAAATATATTTTTAGTGATTTCAGAAAGAAAGGGAGGAGAGAGATAAAAAGATCAATGATAAGAGATAATCATTGATTGGCTGCCCCCTGCACGGTTCCTACCGAAAGCTGGGCAATTACCCTTGACCGGAATGAACCCGGGACCCTTCAGTCTGCAGTCCGACACTCTATCCACTGAGCCAAAGCCGGCTAGAGTAATCTGAGTATTTTTTGTTCTATTTCTGCAAAAAATGCCATTGGGATTTTGTTGGGGATTGCATTAAGTCTGTAGTTGGACTAGGTAATGTGGCCACTTTAACAATGTTAATCCTTTAACCAATGAACACGGATCATCTTTCCATTTCTTTGTGTCTTCCTCAATTTCTTTTAACAATGTATTGTACAGGTCCTTCACCTTTTCTGTTAAGTTTATTCCTAGGTATTTTATCCTTCTATTGCAGTTGTAAATGAGATTGTCTTTATTTCTCTTTCTCATATTCTGTTGTGAGTATATAGAAATAAAACAGATTTCTGATATTGATTTTAATCTTGCAACTTGAGCAGACTGTTCTCTTCTCCCTCTCTCCTCCTTGTGATACACCTATTATCCTTGGGTTGCTCTGTCCAGTGAAGTCAGATAGTTCTCCTAGAGTGCTTTCCTTTTCTTAAACTCTTAGTTCTCTCTTCTTTCACCTGGGTCACTTTTAGGTTTCTACCTTTGAGTTTGCTAATTCTCTCTTCCATCTGGACTGCTCTATTTCTAATGCTCTCTAATATATTCTTCATTTCATTATTCAGTTCCAGAATTTCTGTGTGGTTCTTTTTCATGATTTCAATCTCTTTGGTCAAGTTCTCCTTTTGTTCATTAACTTTATTCCTGAGTTCAGTAAACTACCTTTTTGAATTTTCTTGTATATCCTTGGGTTTCTTTATAACTACAATCCTAGAATCTTTTTTTCTTCTTCTTCTTCTTCTTTTTTTTTTTTTTTTGTTAATCCTCACTTAAGGAAAATTTTCCATTGATTTTTAAGAGAGAGTGGAAGGGAGGGGGAGAAACAGAGAGAGAGACACACATCGATTGATTGCCTCCTGCACATGCCCTGATCAGGGGCAGGAATTGAGCATGCAACCAAGGTACATGCCTTTGACTATAATTGAACTTGGGACTCTTCGGTCCACTGGCTGATGCTCTATCCATGGATCCAAACCAGCTAGACCCATAACTGCAATCTTGAATTCTCTGTTATTTACATCACTGGCTCCTATGACTTTGATTTCACTTTTCATTTTCTTTCTATGCTTCCATTACCTTGGTTGTTCGTGATGCTTGATGGACTATTTCTCTGTCCATCAAGCAGTATGCAAGGATTCATACTACTTTATGAAGGGGAGTGGACTGGAGACATTTCTTTGCGGACTATTTCTTTGATGTAATGCTCTCGTTAGATATTGTTTTCTCTCAACAATTCAGCCAGTTGATAGGTAGGGTGCTTTCTTTGTTTCCCAGTAGGTGGTGCTACATTGCAAGTTTATGTTTTCTCTTGCACTGTTGCACCTCTGGGATTGTGGGTGTCCTCTCTGTGACCAGCTCATCTTGTTTATGAAGCACCTCCACTGTGATAGGGGAATGGTTTTGTGAACTCTCAGAGCTATTTCCTTTTTCTGCTGTTTTTTTCATTACTGGGCTTCACCAGGGTGTGTGGGGGAGAGGAGGCAAGTCTGTGATCTAGCAGTTCTGCTCCACTGGTCCAGTTAGGGCTGTTGACACCCCCCCCCCCCCCTTCCCAGACACCTCTACCTGGATCTGCTATGATGAAGAACAGGGAACAGGGAAAGGAGATGCCTTCAGGGAGGAAAACTGCTTCTGTCCTTCTTAAACTGCAGCTCAGCTCCTCTCCTTGCTACCACACTAGCCTAAGCAGCGGAGGGTATCGAACTCTGTCTGAGGCTACCGTCCCTATCCTTCCTCCTGTCATGCCTCCAGAATACCCACCTGGAGATGTCCCAATATGTGGCTCTTTCTGTGTGCTGAACAGGGGATTCTTTGTGGAGTTATAGTTGTCTGACTTGTAAATTGAAAGGGAGAAATAATGGAGTCTTCTTACTCTGCCATGATACTGACTTCACTCTCATATTAGTGCTATTTTAGTGGTTGGCCAACTACTTCATCAATCTAATCTACATACTTCTACCAGATGATTTTTCCTTAAAATATGATTTCATTAGGTTACAGTTTTGCTCAAAAACCTAATTTATGGTCCTTCCACTGCTCAAGAGTTAAGCCTACAGTCCAGATTTCATCATAGATTTTTTAGCAATGGCCTTCAAAAAAAACCACACCTCACCAAAACCGGTTTGGCTCAGTGGATAGAACGTTGGCCTATGGACTGAAAAGTACCAGGTTCGATTCTGGTCAAGGGCATGTGCCTTGGTTTGGGGCACAGCCCCAGCGGTGGGTGTGCAGGAGGCAGCTGATCGATGTTTCTCTCTCATCGATGTTTCTAACTCTCTATTCCTCTCTGTAAAAAATCAATAAAACATATTTTAAAAAAAATTACACCTCCCAGAATTCCCAGCCTGTGTAGTCCTCTACACACTGAGGAGTGGCTTGCTTTGGCCAATGGGGGACCAGCTGGTGTAACTCCCACAGGAGCCTGCACTCTTGCATGAGGGAGTGAGCGCACAGACTAGTCCAGGTGACTGTAGCTGCAGGAGTGAGGGGCCCAGAGAATTGCCCTGCCTTTATAGGACCATGAGAAATAATAAACTATTGTCTTACCCAGGCCAGTGTGGACCCCAGGTCTGGCTTGGGTACTGTCTTTTCTGCCTAAAGTGCTCTATGCAGCCATCCGCCTACTAAAATCTAACATCTATCTGCTAGCTCCGCTCCCACAGGCCTCCTGCCTGCTCATCCTGTGCTTGTCCTGAGCTGTACATGTCATCCCAAGTTATAACTGACCTGCTGACTGCACATCTGGCCTCTTCAATACAGTAAAAATTCTTACCAAAGACTTTACAAATTTATCTAAACATCTCAAGGACTTCAGCAAAGCCCAGATGGCCTGAATAAATTCTGGAAGCATCTTCGGAAGTGTGCAATAGTCCCCAGCAGGTGTTAAAGTGATGAGCCTTTTGGGGAGAAGCCTCTTTAGCAGGAGGCTAAAGCTGCAGGTTATTCACTGAGTCACCTTGTAAAACTATCTGAGGCAGCAAATGCTGGAAGGAAAATCACTGCAGGTCCTGGTGATCCCCTTCACAGGGCCCCTCCAGCAATGACTTTGCAGCCTTGTGACTTTGCAGTCACCAAAGGAGAGCCAGCTGTGCAAGGCCCTGCTCTTTGAAGGAGGGAGGGGCACCCACAGAAGTCACTAGAGTCACCCATACTGCTGGAGGGGAGGGAACAAGTCCCAGGCCTGTGAACTTTCTGACACTGGGAACATCTGGCAAACAGCACAGAGATGCAGAAGTAAATAAGCAGCCTACTTCTCCAGCGACCACAGCAACGCGGCACCCATCACCAAAAGTCTAGTCAGCACGCCCCATTACCTGGGGCATGTTCATGTAGAAAGTATGTGAGGCCACAGGTTTATTTTCAAAATATAGGAAGCACCCAAAGGTGGGACATGGTGAAAGAGAAAAATAAGAGCTATATCTGAAGTTTTTTAAATCTAGAAATTAGAAACTGAGTGTTCTATTTATGCTTCTTGGAGGTCCTAATGCTAGAGGGTGAAACTGGGGTCTGAGTCTTTTGGGGGTGATGATTGCTCCCAGGGGAAAACTGTTCTGACCAGGTTAGAATCTGGTGTTTGTTAGCACCTCCAGGTTTTAAGGTGATCGATCACTGGCAACATTCACCTTTTAGCAGGAAAATGCATGTGTAGATGCATGCCAGTTTCCTCAAATGAAATCTCTTCAAACTAACAAACTGGTTCTCAGAGAGAGTGCTCACATTCATTTTGAGAAAGCACTCATCATAAATTGAGAATCTAAGTTCAAATTTTAATTTAGATGTTTTTCTATTTAGGCTAAACGTTTAACTTCTCACATAATCATCAAAAGGAATATACCTGCAGGTATAGGAAGGAAGGCAAGACATTCTTCTATATAAATAAAAGGAGAATAATTCCTTTGCTGCAGGATAGTAACATCAATATTTTAAGTATACATTTTAAATGTTATTAGATCATAAATAATTTGGTTTAAAAAGTAGAAAACATGTTTTTGGCATTGACAAAGACTGAACCATGTGAAAAAGTATGATTTAATTATTAAACTACAAACAGCTCTGGCCAGTGTGACTAAGTGGTTAGAGCATGGCCAGAGCACCGAGGGTTGTACATTTGATTTCTGGTCAAAGGTGGGTTGCAGGTTGGATCCCCAGCCCCAGATGGGGCTCGTGCAAGAGGTAACCAATCATGTGTCTTTCTCACATTGAAGTTTCTCTCTCTCTCCCCTTCTCCCTCCCTTCCACTCTCTCTCTCTCAGGAAGGAAGGAAGGAAGGAAGGAAGGAAGGAAGGAAGGAAGGAAGGAAGGAAATCAATGGAAAAAATGTCTATGGTGAGGATTAACAAGAAAAAATAAAAGAAATACGTAACTCATAGTAGATTATTATTCAATGTACTCATTTCAAATATACTAATATCCTATTATTGCAAAGTATTATTGATTAAATTATTTGTAAATAATTTCTACCAATAAAGATATTTTTAAAATTTAATATCAAAATTTAATTCTAAAAATAATTAAGTAAAATATTTACTGAATGGCTTTTTAAAAAATTTATTTATTTCAGAGAGGAAGGGAGAGAGAGAGAGAGAAACATCAATGATGAGAGAGAATCATTGATCGGCTGCCTTCTGCACCCCACTCTGGGGATCAAGCCCACCTCCCAGGCATGTTCCCTGACCAGGAATCAAACTGTGACCTCCTGTTTCATAGATCTATGCTCAACCACTGAGCCATGCTGGCCAGACCTGAATGGCTTTTATATGTGCTCTATATTTATAAATTTAGAAAATAAAATAGACTTACCATTAACAGCTTTTTCATAATTTTTTCCTAGGTTTATTAAATTTCGTAGCCGCGGATTGAACTGTTCCATAACATTCTGGAAAACAAACAGAACAAACAAATTAGTAAAATAAGTGAACAGCAGGCCCTGTCATCTTTAGATGCTGTTATCACACAGAGCCTGGGACACCTATATATGTGGATTGTCCAGCGACAGGATGGTCTACCAGTCGGGGATGTTGACTTGAAAAGACAGTGAAGGGCACTGATGAACAGGGCGCTGATACTTACACATGCTATTTCGGATATAAAGGTTCTCCATTATGGTTAGAAGAGAGAGCACATAATTTTTTTAATTTATTTTTTAATGTTTATTGATTTTGAGAGAAAAACGAAGGGAGAGGGATAGAAACATTGATGCAAGAGAGACATTGCTTGGCTGCCTCTTGCACACACCCCCACTGAGGACTGAGCCACAGCCTGGGCATGTGCCATGATCAGGAATTGAACCGGAAACCTCTTGGTTCATGGGTCAATGTTCAACCACTGAACCACACCGGCTGGAACATAACTCGTATTTTTAAATATTTAAACATTTTATTTATTGATTGATTTGAGAGAGAGACATCGATTTGTTGCTTTCCTTATTTATGCTTTCATTGGTTGCTTCTTGTATGTGCCCTGACTGGAGATCAAACCCACAACCTTGGTGTACTGGAACACTCTAACCAACTGAGTTACCTGGCCAGGGCTAGGAGAACACAACTTTTATTTTATCAAACAGTGATAAAGGTTTATGAAAAACCACACCTGCCTCACCTATCCCCACCCCTGCCTGACCTTACTTACTCCCAAGAGCTGTTATTCTGGTATTTACTGCTGTAGTTTTGAGTAATAGCCTTGATTTCTCAAATTTGGGTCACAACTATAGGCTCTCTGCTAGAGTAGATGAGGACGTGGCTCTCCTTCCCCCAATCCATCCTACATAGTTCAATGGCAATTTCCTGTTAAGTCAATAGTCAGGGTTTTTTGTTACTTTGTAAATATTGGTCACTACAAAGCAAAAAATGTACCAAGGATTACATTTCAAAAGTCCTTTCCTGGAATGGACTTTTTGTTTCTTGTGGGATTAGCAATTGTCTCACCTACCCACTCCCATGTTTAATTTTCTGTGTATCTACCTTAAATTTGTCCCCATGCTCCATAGGATCTAGCAGAAGCCTATTAATAGTATTTTTCAAATGCGCAAAGTTGTCAGCTAATCTTCCCTTCACCCACTCCCCCACCCCCACCCCAGAACTTCCTCCAAGGACTCTGCGTCCTCTCGCCCAGGCTGGCCAGAGTGTCCCTGATATGCTGGTGCCCTTGCATGTCCTTCCTGGTCCTTCGTGTTAGACCTCTCACGAACAGGATCACAATCTTCCTCTTTCTTCATTTATTCCTACTTTCTGAAGATTGTTCTCCAAGAATGACCTAAGAATGGATGTGTGAAAGGTAAATTTGAGGACCCATGTGTCTGAAACTATCTTTATCTTGACATCTGATAGATATTTTGCTAGCTAGAATATTATAGATCAAAAGTGATTTCCCCCTAGAACTTGTAAGATAATGCTCCACTATCTTTAATATCCAGTTTTGCGATAGAGAAGTTGGCTATCATTTCTTCTTCATTTCTACTAGTATATAACTTTTGGGGGAGAGGCAAAGAGAGGGGGCGCTTATTTCTGAAAGCCTTTGCCTTATCCCTCCCTCCCTGTGTCCTGACACTCATAATGGTTTTTCTCAGTACTTTTTTCATTTATTTAACTGAGCACTCAAAAGGCCCTAACTAATCTATATAGGAAATTATATCCTTCAGGTCTGAAAAGCATCCTGGAGTTATACTCTAAGAATTTGTCCTTTTTTTTTTTTTTATCTGATTTTCCGCTTTTTGTTCTGACAGATATCCTCAACTTCACATCCCTTCCAACTCTCCTACTAGATTTTAAATTTTTTAAAAATATATTTTCAATTCGGGCTCTGTCAAGTTTTTTTTTTTATTATTATTATTCTTTATGTATTTATTTTTTTTTATAATTCCTATTTATTTTTTATTATCCTTTTTAAAAGCATCCTGTTCTTGTTTTATGGAGGCAATATTGTCTCTTATTTCAATAAACTGTAGTTTTGGGTATTTCCTTCAGTTCCCCATGTTCTTTCCTGTTTATTTCTTCTCATTGCTTGGCATCCATCTGTCTTTTGTGTTGGAGGGTGTCCTCCGCTGTCTGGTGACCCCTGCTCAGTTCTTGGGGAGTAAATCCTAATGCGCCGGCTGGAAGGGATGCATGCAGGGCGGCTGTGGACCAGCAGGCTTCCTGTGGGGTGACTGACAGGTCGGCTGTAGACAAACTGGCCACAGGGTCATTCCAGACATGTTTCTAATTCCCTGTCCTTGGGTAGGGGAAAGGCCATCACCAGGAGGTCTGCCTTCCCAGTCAGGAAGGGGGTGGGGGGCGGCTGGGAATCCCACAGTTTGCTGAGCTGATTTTTACTGAATTCCGGTTATCAGCTCTGAGTTTTGCTCCCTGTACCTTGATGGGTACTTCCAAGTCACTATATTTTGAGATTATTCTCCAGTCTGGCAGGCAGAGGACACCACTGTTTGGAGTGGTGGTTGGGTGGGGAAGGGAACCTGTAGTTTAACCAGCTTGTAGAATGACTGTGCATCCCCTCTGCGGGGTCTGCTCCTCAGCGCTGGGGTGCTCCAGTGAATGGCTCAGCTCTCATCAACACTCCCCCTGCAGGCTGTTGAGGTTCTTGTAGGGCAGTTACTACTCCTCTGCCCATTTCTATCAACACAAATTTCTTTAGGCTTTTTGTCAACTGACATTTCCTTTTTCAGGTCTCTACACTACAGATTCTTTTAAAAATAATATATATATATTTATTTATTTCAGAGAAGGGAGAGGGATAGAAACATCAATGATTGGCTGCTGCCTCCTGCACGCCCCTTATTAGGGATCGAGCCCGCAGCCTGGGCATGTGCCCTGACCGGGAATTGAACCGTGACTTCCTAGCTCATAGGTCGGTGCTCAACCACTGAACCACACCAGCTGGGCTATACTATGGATTTATAGGTATTTTTTAAAAGTTCTTTTGCTCTCATTTTAACATATCTTTATAAAAAAAAAAAAAAAAGAGTAGAAAAACACATGCTTCACTGGAAGTCCACTACTCCTGTTTTATTTAAGCCAGCGGGCTGTTTAAGCCTCTTTCACAACCAGCAGCCAGAGGGCCCCAGCCAGGGCTGACTCCCTCACCAGTCTGACTGCAAGATGGTAAACCTTCTACTTGAACACGGGACCTGTAGTCACAACCGCTACTTCTCTCTCCTCAATTCCCTTGGTTTGTTTTTAAGCTTTTTATTTTGAAAAAGCTTTAGATTCACAAGAAGTTGTGAAAATTGTACAGGGAATTCTTAAGTATGCTTCTCCCCAAAAAAACTTATATAACCATCATACCTTATCTAGCACACTATCAAAACCAGGAAACGGACATGGGCACAACACGATAAACTGAACTGTAGACATTATTTGGCTTGACCAGTTTTTATATCACTCATTTTTTTTTGAAGGGGTGAACTGATTCTATGAAATTGTACCACATGTACAGATTTGTATAAATCACCACCACAATAGTACAGAAGTGTTACATCAACACAAAGATCTAGCTCATGCTACCCACTTCAGAGCGGCACCCTTCCCCAGTCCTAACCCCTGATCTCATCACTACAGTTTTGTCATTGTGAAAATGTTATATAAATGGAATCAGGTGACCTTTTGAGACTGGCTTTCGCACTTGGCACAAAGCCCTGAAGTACCATCCAAGTTGTTGGGTGTATCAGCAGTTTACTCCTTTTTGGGGGGGGTGGGGGGGGCAGTAGTATTCCACAGTAAGGAAGTATCACAATTTGCTCATCCTTATACCCATTGATCATATGGGTTGGTTTCCAGTTTTGGGCAATTTCAACTAAACCTGACACAGACCATCACATACAGGTTTTGTGTGAATGTAAATGCCAAGTATCTCTTCAGATAAACACTTGGGCATTCAATTGCTGTGTTTTATGGTAGATGTATGTTTAACTTTATAAGAGTGGCCATACCACTTTACATTTCCATCAGCAATGCATGAAATTTCAATAATTTAAAAATCGAATAACTTCATTAGAAAATGGTTACTTTCTAATGAAAAGATAAAACAATTTTTCAAAGATCTCTCTTAAAATGCTTATAATAATCTTATGAGGCAGAATGTGGAGGGTAAGAATATAGGGAAGTTGAAACAGAGCCAAGCCTGTCCTCTGGCAAACAAGAAGTCACACAAAAAAGGCCCGGACCTTTGTTATTTCTCAAGACTATTCTTAGTGCAGCGTAACAAAAGAAGGGGGAAATGTAACTTGATTTCTTTATATAATTCTTAAAATGTGTACATATAACTCCTATCTTAAAATGTCAAAAACAATGAATTAATTAGAACTTCCAAAGTTAGCATCAAGCATAAATCACTATCCAAATGATGCTACTAGGGGAAAAAAAAGTTTAAGACTTGAGAGTATAATCAACTTCACAGAAAACACGAGTGTTTTTAAGCTGGAAAGTTCAACATATACTTCAATTCTTTTTATTTAGGCTCAGCTACAGAAATCTCACCCTGTAAATGTTGGCCTCTTTGAACAGTGGAAAATCCATTTCTACACTGGCTCTTGGCCATTAAAATTTAGCTATTTTAACTGAAGCACGTGTATTTTTAAACCCAGAAACAAAAAGGCAGTGCTTCCTTTGTGTCCCACAAGCTATAAAGTTTTACAGTGGCAGTGGGTGTCCTTGTGAATTGGATCGTCCCATATTTTGGGGAGAGGAAAGCAGTTGGGTCAAAGGTCATGCTGTGTCAAGGCTTGTTAAGACTTGTGTATAGAGCTTAAAATTGTGTACAGATTTATCAAGTATCACCAGTAGTAACAAACATAACCATTTTAATTTAAACTAAGAATAAAAGGCTTAAGATACCAAGTATGAAAAAGATAAATTATAAAAGGTATTAACCAGCTGAGAACCA